AAAGAAGACCTGGAACCTGAAGGGTACTCTCTCCCTTTTGACATTAGATGACAGCTTCTTCCTTTTGAAGTTCAACAACCGTGAAGATTATGACATGGCGTAGTCCGGTGGACCTTGGTTCTTTTCGGAAAGCCTTTCATCCTACAACGATGGATGCCGGAGTTGTTTCCAGGGAGAGGAGTTTCCTTCCATCCCGCTGTGGATCAAAATCAAAAACTTTTCCCTCTCTTGCTGGACGCTAGAGGGAATTTCAAAAATTGCTAGCTGTGTCGAAATCCCACTGGCTGTTGATGCCCTAACTGCCGCAAAACCAGGCTAACCTTTGCTAGGGTGTGCGTTCAGGTTAGCAGCTCTTCTCCCCTACCGGACGAAATTTATTATACTGTGGATGGAAAAATTTTCCCTCTCACCGTGCTTTACAACTAGAAACCCATTCATTGTACCTTTTTCAATTCTATCATGCATTCGCCATCCTCTTGCCTCAAAAATCCTAATCCAACAATCACTGAACCTCCCCCTAACCGGGGTAGAAGTACCAGTAAAAAGCCTCGTAAATCTCCACCTCCACGGCTTTTTATTCCCAAGCCCCCTATTCCCACTGCCACCCAGCCTTCACCTTCCACCAACCACATCCAAGACTCGATTGAAATCCCCCCTTCTCATGCTCCTCTGCCCAACCTCAACTCCCCTTCCACTGATACGACCGATTTACCAGCCTCCAATCCTCCTCAGTTAATCCCCAACCCCACTCCACCTACTAATCATTCCCCTCCTCCACAAAAACAATCCACTCCTATCCCAACCACAAATAAATTTTCGGCCTCTCAGATCAAGACATTCCTATGACTATCTTGCCGCCTTCTCTGCTGACCTCCTCTTCCGGTGAATTGGATAGTGTCGGGAAGCCTCCTAATACTGCCTTGGCTGTGCTTGGTAGCTCTTCTCAAATTAATAACAAACCTTCCTCATCACATCCATTCAATACCACTCCCCCATCCAAAGCCACCAGAGAAAAAAAGGCTAAGAAGGCCTCCACCCCAACTTCCAAATCCCAATGACCAACCCCCCTATGCTGGCGGCGTGGAACACCCGTGGGTTTAACAGCCCAGACAAAGCTTTGTGTTGGAAAAATCTTGTTAACACATACAATCTTGACCTTATTTTCATTTTAGAAACCAGAATTTCTATCCCTAATACCAACAACAATTGGTTCCTCTCCACTCACTCCATTTATCCTCATGAAGGATCTTATGACAATTTTGCTTTTGTTAATCCCGACAAAATCTGGGTTAAGTGGAACTCTTTGAATGTGAGTTTCAAACCTGTTTTTACCTCTAGCCAGCTAATCCATGGTCAGGTTTTTACGGGAAATGCGGAATCTTATTATGTTTTTGTGGTTTATACCTCAAACTCGTTGGTTGAAAGGCAAATTCTCTGGAGAGATTTATCTGATATTGCAGCCATTATTGCCTCCACTTGGATTATTCTCGTGGATTTTAATTGTTGTCGTTACACTAATGAAAAGGCTGGGGGCTCCTTGCTTACCAATAGTAAGGTTTCTGACTTCAACAACCTGATTTTTAATATTGGAGCTCATGAACTATCCTATGTGGGGCACTTCTTCACTTGGTTTAACCAGAGAACTGGTAACCCTATCCATATTAAGTTGGATAGAATGTTGGTAAATGAGGTTTGGTTACAAACTTATCCTAATTCTTACTATTTGGTGGATGACCCTCAGATCTCCGATCATTCACCCATTATTCTGCACAATGCCTTAAAAATCCAACAAAAGCATAGATTTCTCTTCAAGAATTATTGGGTTTCTAAACCTGAATTTTGGGATGAACTTATCTCTGTGTTCTCTCAAAGATTCCACAGCAGCCCTATCCATTCCTTTTGTCATAAGCTTAAGACTCTCATGCTTAACATAAAATCTAAGAACTGGGTTTCTTCAAACGCTCTCCAATCTGAAATTCTGGAGCTCACTAGCTCCCAAAACTCTATTCTGAGGCAAATTCATGATGCTCCTTTGGAACTAGATCTTAACTTGGCTTTGAAAGAGATTAATCACAAACTTCTTGAGAGGAACTCTAACTGGTCTGATTGGGTTATTCAAAGAGCAAAGGCAAAATGGTTAACTTGTGGTGAGGATGATCTTAGATTCCTCTACTCTAGAATCAATGCTCGGCATAATACCAACTTGATTAAAAGCATCACCACCTCTGAGGGGACCTTCTCCAATCCTACTGATCTTAATAATGCCATTATCAGACATTTCCATAAGCTTTTTAATACTGCACTTTCGTCCCAAACTGCCTACGGGACTGCTCTAGTTCATCTTATGGTCCCTGAAAACCTTATACCCTCAACTAGTAGCTCCTGTTACTAATGATGAAATCAAACATGTTATCTTCTCTGCCCCCAATTCCTCTGCCCCGGGGCCAGATGGTTATTCTTTTGAATTCTACAAATCAACTTGGCATATTATTGGCAAACAACTCTATGATGATGTCTTAACTTTTTTCTCTACTGGCTCTATGCCTAAGCAAGCGAAGGCCACTGCTCTTGCACTGATACCCAAACGGCCTCATGCTCAGGATATTACAGATTATAGATCTATTTCACTCTGTAACACCTTTTATAAAATAATTGCCAAGATCTTAGCAAATTGAATGAAGGAGGCTATGCAATATATTATTCATCCCAGTCAGTCTGGCTTTATTAAAGATAGAATTATCTCTGATAACATTTTGCTTGCGGATGAATTTCTTAAGGAGCTTAATCAGAAGGGCAAAAAAATTATTTTTGTGCTAAATTTGACATTCATAAAGGCTTTTGATACAGTTTCAAAAGATGTTTTTCTTAGCCGTTTGATTGCCAAGGGCTTCCCTACTGCCTTTGTTTCTTGGATCAAAGGCTGCATCTCCGATGTGCATTTCTCTATTTCTATTAACAGGGCCCTTGAAGGTTACTTTAATTCCTCCTCCGGCTTAAGGCAAGGGTGTCCCCTCTCACCTTATCTTTTCTGCATTATAATGGACAGTCTTTCTTCTTGTTTTGAGGAAGCCAACCTTAACAACTCATTTAGAGGCATTGAAGCTGGTAATGCTACTTTTTCTCATCTCCTATACGCTGATAATCTGTTGGTTTTTGCCATGGCCAATGAGGGAAATGCTCACTCCCTTAATGTGATTTTGGATAACTTTGCTACTTTCTCTGGCTTGCAAGTGAATAGAAATAAGAGTTGCATTCTTTTTTCTAAGAATGTGCTTAATGATCAAGTTATCTCTAATATTCTTAACATTCCAATCTCTTATGCTCCTATCAAATATCTTGGTATACCTATTTTTAGTAAGAAGCTCAAAATATGTGATTTTCAACCTCTTTTGGTTAGAATTATGAGCTCACTTGATGGTTGGAAAGCTATATCGCTTTTGTTAGCCGGTCGATTGCAATTTTTGAAGTATACCGTTTTTAATATTATTGCTTACTAGGTGAGAGGTACTTTAATCCCTAAAACCTGCATCAAGAAAATCAATAGCTTATGCTCAAGGTTTTTGTACTATGGTGACATACACAAGATGAAGCTTCACATGATTTCATGGAAAGATACTTATAAGCCTAAGACTGCCGGTGGGTTGGGCATTCCTACCATTGAGTCGTTGTACCATGCATTTGGCTGTAGAACTATTTGGAGATATTGTTTAAATGGTGGAATGCTAAGCATTATTCTTTCTAGAATTTCAGGACCTCTAAGAGCTCCTGTTATTGGAATTTTCTTTGTGATGTTGCCAAATCCTTAAGGTAGTCTCTGACCCTCAATATCACTACCTCCAGTAAGCTTTCTTTCTTTTGGGATCCCTGGTGCAATGAACTTTCTGTTGCTGAATGACTTGTGAATGAAAACCTGGAGTTTTTAATTCCCACCTTAGACCTCTCTATTAGTGCTTGTATTTCTGTTGGCATTTGGTCTTTGCCTCATTCCTTTCCTATAAATCTGGCTGTTTTGATTAATTTTGTGCCCATTTCTGATAACATGGAGGTTTGTTGCTGGAATAGTATTGGCAAACCTTCTTTTCGCACCTTTCATAAGCATTTTTACCAGGATCTGGAACCTATGCCCTGGTTTAATTTTATTTGGTTTAAATTCCATGCTATTCGTTTCTCTATCTACTCTTGGATGGCGATCAGGAATGGTCTTATAACTGCTGATGCGTTGATTATCAGGTGAATTCCGGTTTCCCCAAATTGCATTTTCTATAGGTCTTACAGGGAAAATCTTAATCATCTATTGTTTGAATGCGACTTTTCTTATAATATTCTTATGAATACTTTGCCTCATATGAGATGCATGCTTCTTAGACCAAACCTGTGGCAAGTTTATAACAGCATTGATGATGGGGATATGGATTCTAGCCTGAAAAACCTTTGCTATCTCTTGCTTACTTCTATTGTCTATTTTATCTGGAAGGATAGAAATAACAGGCTATTTGGAAATATTGTTGACTGTCAAACAACCGTTATTGGCGAGATTAAAAGGGTTGTTTTGTTTAAGATTTTGAAAAGGAAATGTTTTCAAAACCTTCACCATTTGCTGGAATGCATTGGGGTGAGCTGCTGTGGAGACTTATCTGGATTGTGGATGCTATGCCGCTGGAAAGTTTTGATTTCCTGGATGGTCTATTTTGGCAACCAGGAAATGTGGTTTTGAAGGACAATGATGAATGCAACCTTCTTTATATCCCTTTGGATGGTCTCTCTGGCAACCAGGGGACCTAATCATCTGTCTGGATGAATTTTGCTGCCTGGGTGTTTAACATGAGTGTTGCAACCTGAGTCCTTTTTTAATTTTCAATTCAATTTTGTCTCTTTTAATTGTCTGTATTTTTGGTTTTTCTGCAGCTTTTGCTGATAGATTGTATTAGCTTCTCTTTATTATGCAGCCTTTTTATTGCTGATAAGGTTTTGTTGACAGCTACTGGTAGGTTGTGATAGCTGTCAATTTTTTTTCTGTAACTCCTTTTACATTGAATGATATGGGCTTTGGCCCCAAATATTCCCAAAAAAAAAACTCCTTTCTATAAAGTCACCCTCCGGCATCTAGCTGCTACCGCCGACGAGGTTTTCCTCCTGGTCCAAGCAATGGAAGATGCAGAGTGGGGCACGTGCCCCCACTACCCAACGCAATTTTTTTTCTTTTTTATGTTTTTATATTTTAGGTAGGGGTGTCAATTTTAGGTCACCGGCCTGATTCCGGTCGAACCTAAAATTGACCCGACACTATTCGGATCAACCTGAACCCGTCCCTTTTTACAAATTTATCGGTTGTTCGAACCGGAACCCGTCCCGATTTGAATTCGGGTCAACCCGAACCCGATCCGAAAAGCGATGTTCGACTTCGCTTGCAGGCTCACAGCGGCTTGCTGTGACGGGGGTTTGATCGCTGTATCAGAAGTTACAACAGTTTGATCTGAAGCAACGGTAGGATTCACATGCAGTGAAAGAGTCGCCGTCTTACTAGCTCCTTCGTACCTGTTCGACTTTGTTCCTTGGACGACGTTAACTTCAGATCGGATCTAAAGTTGCGGCATTTTGATCAGAAGGAATGACGGGAGTTTGATCGCAGTGAAGGAGTCTCAGCCTCGCCGGCTCCTTCGTTCCTGTTCAACTTTACTCATTGGGTGACGTTCACTTCTGATCGGATCGAACATTACAATATTTTGATCGAAAGCAACGACGGGAGTTTGCTCGCAGTGGAGGAGTCGCCACCTCGTCAGGTCATTCATTCTTGTTCGACTTTGCTCCTTGGATAACGTTCACTTCCAGTCGGATCGGAAGTTACAACATTTTGATCGAAAGCAACGACAGGAGTTTGCTCGCTGTGAAGGATACGCCACCTCTCACCAGCTGGCCCTGCTCCTTCGTTCATATTCGTCGTGTTCAACTTCGCTCCTTGGACGATGTTCATTTCCTGTCATATCGAAAGTGACAAACATTTTGATCAGAAGCAACGCTGGAGTTTGCTCGCTATGAAGTATTCCTGGTCATTTTCGGGTTTCCGGGTCAAACCAAACCCCACCCGAAAATTTGAAACGGGATGAAAATCAGGACCTAAACCCAACCGGTTTCAGGTTTGGGTTGACTCCATCCAAAAAAATTTGTGTCGGGTTCGTGTCAGATTTTCGGGTCATGTCAAATATTGACACCCCTAATTTTAGGTAAGTAATTGATATATATACATTAATAAAACTCTAAATCTCTCCCCTTTTTTCTCCCGTTGTGCTCCCACATTCCAAGCCGCAATCATGTCGCAAGCATCATCATGGGCGCAAGCTCTCCGTGAAAAAATTATTGTGTATCAAACGGTTTCTGGATATCAATTTGAATGCGTCACGTATTTTGTTTTTTGCTCGTGTCCGCACAAAATAATTCTCCCCCATGAGTCTCTCTCTATCAATGAATTTTTTTGTGCAGTTTTTGCATATTTTCTCAAATAGAAATTAAAAGGAACTAGATATGTAAAATATAATAATGTTGAGATTTGTGTTAAATAAATAGGAATATGAATGTGTATAGTATTTTTAGAATTTCAATTTAAAAAATATA